TACTGTCAGGAATGAACTTGCCAATAGTGTTGGGACTCACCTGCCTTGTGGGCTGCAGTACCAGGGCTGGCCAGCGGGTGCTCTCAACAACCAGAGGTTCACTTTGGCAATTAGCCATCACCTGGGGCTGATTGCAGGTGGTGTATTTAAGGGAAGGCCAGACCTACAGTCTGTGCCTTGGTGTGTGTTTTTTCCATGGGCCCCTGTATCTTGTAACCTGCATTCCTGTTCCTGTTTCTGCCTGACTTGTTGCCGACCCTGCCTGATCCTGACCTCTGCTGACTTCTCCTGTTTTGATCCCTGGCTTGTGACTCTGACCATTCTCTCCGCCTGCTCCTTCTGTACCTACCTGCCCGATAGTTATCGACCCGGCCTGCCTGACTACGTTGTGCTCTATATGTGTATGTACCTGTGTATCTATATCAGTTTAGGTTTGGGTTTGTTTCACCTTGTTTTATGTATTTGTGTTAGCTTGGGGTTTGGTGCACTGCGTTTATATTTGTATTGTTAGTCTCAATAAATTATATTATTTACTATATCTGAAGCCTACGTTTCCCTTTGTCAGTCCACACACTTCTGGTCACACCCGCATCCCTGACAGCTTGACAGCGGATGGGTAAATGATCTTATTCCATCTGGTTCCTGGCAGAACTTTACAAAGAACTTTATCTTGTGATTCCAGAGGCCCAGTTTGTTCTTCACATAATAGGCAAACTGGACATCCTTGCAGTATTTCTAGAGGCAGGTGGTGATGTCGGTAGTCTTGATATATGGATTAAATATGCGGACCACCAGGGGGACATCATCTTCTTCATAGAGTAATACAAGCTTTAGCCCATCCAACTTCTCTTCAGTCTGGTCTTGCAGTTTAAAATCTGTAGGTGTTAAGGCAGCTGGCTGAGGAGGTAAAGGTGATAGTATACACTCCTCAGTGTTCTTGGTCTTGGAGGCACAAGATGTTCTCAGTCTTGAGGAGGATGCCAAAAAGAATCTCTTCAGCAATTTAACGCAAGTTCTTCTGTTGGCAATGTTTCTTCTCCACCTCAATGTGGATCGCATTCTTCATTCTTTGCTCTCCAGAAAAGGAAAATGTAAGTAAATGTCATCTTGGTGGCATTAACTTGGCATAACCCTTGTTAAGTGATCCCTCGTATATTTTTCCAACAGTGCTTCACCCACTAGCAGCAAGCTCTAAACCAATTAAGGAACCAGAAACAGGGTTGAGTGGTATTGGTGTCTACTCAAAATCTGCTGACTAAGAGTCTGGATCTTAGTCAAAAGACTATCTCATCTTATAGGATATCTCATTACTATTATATAATCACTATTGAGGGGTGTATCCCAACTAAATGTTGAATGTAATTGTATTATAACTGTGTGATCAAACCTCATATATTATGTAGCATCATGCTAGTTTAGCTTGGGGGAGCTAGATCCTAATGGTTAGAGAGGAGCTGAGTAGCAGCTCAGGTGCAATAGCCAGAGGGGTCAAACTGTGGTCAGAAGCTGAGAGGCTCTGCAGGTCAGCCCCTCTGGAATTCCCCCCTGCTCTAAGGCTTTTGGAAGAAGGCCTTAGAGGCAGTGGGTGGATCTGAGGAGTGGCTGACTGCAGTCTTGAGGTGTCCAACCAATCCCCAAAAAGAGGCTGGCAAGGAGCTGGACACCCTTAAATGTGTTAGAGCCTGCTCAGTGACAGGAGAGTTTGGGTGGAAGAAGGAGATGAGAGCTGAGAGGAAGATGTAAAGCTGATGAAGGAGGCTGCCAGGAGGCCTAGTGGGATGGGGCCTGTCTGTGAGCCTGTAGCTGGAAAAGGTTGGAAAACTCAGAACTTACTGTCCCCCTGAGCGAGAACTACCAGTATGGCAGGGAAGGAGCAGCCCAGCTGATGGGCCTGTTAGAAGCATCCAACCCACAAGTGGTACAGGAGCGGATCTAAGTGAGTACACCTGCACCCCCTGGGCAGATAGAAGAAGGAGCACTCTGGGGAACAAGATTAGCCCCCTACTAGTGACTGTTCACCTATTTAAATGCACAGGAAACAGATCCCCTGCTCAGGAGAACCTTTAGATTGCTGGGTGAAGAGGAGAATTTCATCTAAGGTCTGGGGTGGTACATCAAGGAGACGCTGGCTAGCTCTCTAACAAGGACTGTGTTGCAGAAGAGAAGCTTGTGAACCATTCCAAGAAGTTTGTTCTCTTTTGTCTGTTCCCTTGGGCATCCTATAACCCTCTTACTCTATCCTAGTTCTAAATCCCCTCAATAAAAAACAGAAACAAATCTCAAGGATTGATTTCTGACTTTGAATGCAAGCCCAACTCAATCCAACCCAAAGGGGTCGTGCTACAAATATAAACTATGAAAATGATATTCCAAGTTGAGTGAGCTGTATAAGGGACAAACATCTCCTGTAGAGACAATCTGACCTATAGGATAGTTTTAATGTTTTACATTGTATGTTCTTTTTATTGTGAAAAAAATTGTATAAGTTTTAATTGGATGAACTACTGTTATTTGTGCACCATTAAAGTCCCTTGTCTGAGAGGCATGTCCAGGATGGCGCAGGGACTTGAAATCTGATTGGGAGGCTCTGCTATTCGGTTCATAGATTTATCAGTCCCCCCATTTGGCCCTGTGGTTATGATCAGAGGCAGAAGCACCATTCCAAACTGTTGTGCTGGCGACCTCATGAGTGCACTGGAATTGGTGAGAGATCCTTCTGTCATTACCAGCAGCACGGCTACACAGATGGATGAGCTTAGAACCATCATTGGCAATTGGTTCTCACTTCCTGGTGTCCCCTTCTTCTAGTCTTGCTTTACTCTCCTTCTTAATCTCAGTGCCCATTAATTGTGTGCATCCTCTTACAGCAACTGGCTCAAGCTGTGCTGAAATAATACAGCAAACATCACAGTTGGTGGTACAACGGAAGGAGTAGTTATGGTTGAAGAGACAGAAAAGAGCACTTTGACAGCTGCGGTGGACTGTGAGCTAGCGCTTACCTGGGTGACAGAGTACAATAATGATAAAGGCTTGCTTAGGCACTTCACCACCTCCTCCACATGCTCTGTGTAGTATGCACAGCACCTGAAAGAAATGACAATTTGCAGATGATGCACCACGTCCATGAACACAGCTTTGGTCTGCTTGTCTCTTCTACAGAAGCTGAACAGCAACTTCTGGCTCTCCCTGTGGCCCTGCCAGACATGATGATGATAATATGGGACTTATTCTCTACTTTTATTTGTAGCTATTAGAAGAGTTATATAGGGCAGGCAAGGTGCTTGGGTGTACTGTAAACTTGCTTGCATGCACTAGAAACTGCTTTTGGTGCACTGGAAACTGTGATGCTTTGCTGTACTCCAAATTAAGAGTTCCTGTTGTGCTGATTTCAACAGATTGAAGCTGCTTATTGTTGCTGCTGATTCCATAAAAAAAGAAATACATTAATAAAAAGACCCTGACAAACCCCAAAAAATAAAGCTCAAAAGCAAAAACTCCCAAACCCTAAACACCCACAAAAATAAAACCCTTATAAAACCCTTTTTTATTTGTTAAGTAGGGTGAGCAGTAGCACTGCCGAATGCAACACATGCTTCAGGCGTTTCACTGTCAAAGTGGTAGTAAACTCTGAATTTTTATTTTATCCTACAGTTTAACCTAAGCTTATAATTAGAGATGAGCAAATTATTCAAAAATTTGGTTCGGCTGATTTGCCGAATTCGCTGAATAAATTCGCTTCGAGCCGAATATATTCGCTGCGAATTTAACTTATAAAAAGGGTGTTTCTAGGCTTCAGAGAGCCTTTATATTAGTGCAGAACACTGTACCTTTAATATAAATGCCCTTGGAGTCTGCTGGGGAAGAGAAATAATACTGTCAGTCAGTATGACATGCAGATGAGTGCTGTCGATCTTAGAATCACCGCACACTTCACTCATTTGGGCAGTCACGGGGCCAAAACCAGAGTGTGGAGCCACAGTGTGGCGGTGGAGGCAGCAGCAATGGGAGGCCATACAGCACCCTATGACAAAATGGAACCCACCAGCAGTGTGAGGAGACCTGAAAGTGGCACATGGCAGAGTGTGGCGATGGAGACAGCATCAATGGGAGGCCGTACAGGGACCCATGACACACTCTGGACCTGGCAGCAGCATGAGGAGGCGGTACAGGGGCCCATGACAGATTACGGGCCTGGCAGCAGCATGAGGAGTCGGTACGGGGGCCCATGGCAGATTACGGGCCTGGCAGCAGCATGAGGAGGCGGTACAGGGGCCCATGGCAGAGTGGCGGAGCGTAAGCAGCTAAAATTGAAGGCCATACAGAGACCTATGTTAAAAAGTCCCCCCAGCAGCAGCGTGGGGAGACGACTATCAAGAGTCCAATGGCAGAGTGGCGGAGCAGAAGCAGCTTCAATTGAAGGCCATACACAGGCCTAGGTTTAAAAGTCCCTCACAGTTAATTCCAATAACGAACTCTACTCCTCCGTGCAATCTACTTACGAGACCCTGGGCAGGTCTGGGTCCAATTTGTGGTAGAGACTGGTTTTGTTCAGCCATGCTTGAGCGAGTAATAACAGGTCTGTGCTGCCCTTTGGTGTCTGGCTTAATGCGCACAACACTGAACGTCCCAGCGTTTGTCAACGATTTGCCGTTAAGTGATGCAAACCCGCTGAACCACGTTCATGAGGAGCCGGTACAGGGGGCCATGAATCAGTATGGACCTGGCAGCAGCGTGAGCAGACGACAGAGGCACATGGCGCAGGGTGGCGGTGTAGGCAGCATTATTCTGAAGCCATACACAGGCCTAGGTTAAAAAGCGGAAGCCGTCAGCAGCGTGAGCAGACGACAGAGACACATGGCGCAGGGTGGCGGTGGATGCAGCAGTATTCGGAAGCCAAACACAGGCCTCGGTTAAAAAGCAGAAGCCGTCAGCAGCGTGAGCAGACGACAGAGGCACATGGCGCAGGGTGGCGGTGGAGGCAGCAGCAATGGAAGGCCATACAGCACCCTATCACAAAATGGAACCCACCAACAGTGTAAGGAGACCTGAAAGTGGCACATGGCAGAGTCTGGAGATGAAGTCAGCAGCAATGGGAGGCCGTACAGGGACCCATGACACACTCTGGACCTGGCAGCAGCAAGAGGAGGCGGTACAGGGGCCCATGGCAGAGTGGCGAAGCGTAAGCAGCTTAAATTGAAGGCCATACAGAGGCCTAGGTTAAAAAGTCCCCCCAGCAGCAGTGTGGGGAGACGACTATCAAGAGTCCAATGGCAGAGTGGTGGAGCAGAAGCAGCTTCAATTGAAGGCCATACACAGGCCTAGGTTAAAAAGTCCCCCCAGCAGCAGCGTGGGAGACGACTATCAAGAGTCCAATGGCAGAGTGGCGGAGCGGAAGCAGCTTCAATTGAAGGCCATACACAGGCCTAGGTTAAAAAGTCCCCCCAGCAGCAGTGTGGGGAGACGACTATCAAGAGTCCAATGGCTGATCCGGGAAGTCAGCGTTGTGATTGCAGATGCAATGCAGAAATTCTACGAAGTAATGCCGTGGGTGCGAAGAAGATCATATACCGTCGTACTTCCATCCATAAGACGGAACAACCTGCGAACCGGGAGCTTTATTGCCCTGACCCGCTGAGCAGCTTCTGGGATACCCAAGAGGTCCATGGCAGAGTGGCGGAGCGTAAGCAGCTTCAATTAAAGGCCATACAGAGGCCTATGTTAAAAAGTCCCCCCAGCAGCAGCGTGGGGAGACGACTATCAAGAGTCCAATGGTAGAGTGGCGGAGCGGAAGCAGCTTCAATTGAAGGCCATACACAGGCCTAGGTTAAAAAGTCCCCCCAGCAGCAGTGTGGGGAGATGACTATCAAGAGTCCAAGCCCCGCCAGCCGGCGTGTAAATGGATTTAACTCTTTGAATGTACAATAGTGGTTGTGAAGGAGAAAATCAGTTTATTTTGCACAATCGGCAAACTGCAGCACCAACTGTGCACGACAGCCACCAAAAAAAAAAAAAGGGTGTATGTCACTTTAAATTTTCGATTCTTTGATAGCTGTGGCCCTAAGTAACGATTCTTTGTCCCTGAGTAACGATTCTGTGTCCCTGAGTAATGATTCTGTGTCCCTGAGTAACGATTCTGTGGCCCTAAAGTCTCTGTGGCCCTAACTCTGTCCCTTAATACACACAGGTCTGTCTCTCTTGAATGACCGGAGGCTAATGGAGAATTCTAAGATGGCCGCGATTTATAGCTCCACCATTACACAGTGCTGGCTGGCTGCTGATTGGCTAATGCGATCACATGTCATGAATGCATTATGGGTCAGCGCGCCTTGTCTGCGCGCCTTCCCAGAGATCCCCAGAGATCCCCGCCCATCTTCTCTGTCCATTTTCTCCGTCGCCACACATGTCGCCGCCATTTTTGGGAAAATTCGATTCGTGCATCCGAAGTTTGCTAATCTTCGGATTCGTCGCGAATAGAATTTTTCCAAATCTTCGGAACGAATTCCACTTCGTCATGTTCGATTCGCTCATCTCTACTTATAATAAAGCTTACCTGTATGATAAATTAATATCTCCTAAACATGCACCATTTAGAAGATATTCTAGGGAGCAGCAGCTGGTGACGTCACCAGCACATGCGCTCTGAAGGAATTTCATACTCATGCCGTTCCTTTAGACATCTGTGCAGCTGCCATGACACCTGCACAGTGATGTAATCACTGCTCTACCATTCAAGCTGCCGCAGCCCACGAACATGGGAGGCAGAACGGGTGAAGATGGAAGCCTCTGCAGCTGTGACAGCTCGACACTTGAGGGCTTAATTTGAAGGTAGGTCTTTCATAATATGCTAGTATGCAATGCAATAGGCCTTTGCCTTGTAGGGTTTGTTGTTGTTTTGTTTTATTTTTACTACCGCTTTAACCACTTGCCCTCTAGAGGATTTACCCCACTTAATGACCAGGCCTCTTTTTGCTACTCGGTGCTGCACTAATTCAACTGATAATTGCGCAGTCATGCAATGCTGTACCCAAACGAAATTTACGTCCTTTTTTTCACACAAATAGAGCTTTATTTTGGTGGTATTTGATCACCTGTGTGCTTTTTATTTTTCGTGCTATAAACAAAAAAAATGAACATTTTGAAGAAAAACAATATTTTTTACTTTCAGCTATAAAAAATATATAGTAAACTCAAACTTAGTTATAAATATAGACCAAAATGTATTCTGCTACATGTTTTTGGTAAAAAAAAAAATCCCAATAAGTGTATATTGATTGTTTTGTGTGAAAGTTATAGCGTCTACAAACTGTGGTGTCACCACTGAGCACCTTCCGAGTTGTCCCAAACCCCCCCCTCTCTATCCTTCTCCTCCTTTAGAGGCCCACTGCATCCGACTATTCTCCCCAACCCCCCTGAGGATTGCTGTAATCTACTGGCCTCCTGTACCCGTACCCCACTTCCTTGATGACTTTTCTGCCTGGCTACCCTTCTTCCTCTCTTCTGAGCTACCCACCATCATCCTTGGAGACTTCAACATCCCGGTCAACATCAACAACCCGGCCACATCCCAACTCATCCACTTAACCTCCTCTTTTGCACTCGCACAGTGCATACAATCCACCACCCAATCCGACGGGAACACCCTAGACCTTGTCTTCTCCTATCGCTGCGCTCCCCACAACCTCACAAACACCCCCTTCCCTCTCTCTGACCACAACCTTATTACCTTCTCTGTCTCCTCATCCTCTAACGCCTACCCCTCCAAATCCCAAACTATTACCAGCTGAAACCTACGCAACCTGAACCCCACCCCCCTCCACTCTGCAGCCGATCAACTTTATGACAGCATCCTTCCCCTGTCCTGCCTCGACCTGGCCACGACTGCTTATAACAACTCACTGTCATCCGCTCTTGACTCGCTAGCGCCTTTAACCACACGAAACAGACACCGACCACTCCAGCCCTGGCAGACTGATCACACCAAAACTCTCAAAAGACGCAGTCGGGCACTGGAGCGATTATGACGCAAAACTAGATCCCAACTAGTGTTCACCCCGCTATAAATCCGCTTTCCACGCCTACACCTCTTCTCTCCATGCTGCCAAACAAGCCTACTTCCTGACCCTCATCAATACCCTCTTCTCCAATCCTCACTGACTCTTCTCTACTTTCAACTCTCTACTCTCTCCGCCCCCACCTCCACCCAGCACCTCACTCACCGCCCTCGAGATTGCCAATCACTTCAAAAACAAGATTGACACAATTCGCCATGACATTGCCGCTGCCCAGACCCCCTCCCCACCTATCTCCTCTCACACAGCAACCCCCTCAACACCCCTCTCCCTCGGCCTCACCACTGTCCAGACCTCCACCCCACCTAACATCCCTCACACTGAATTCCCCTCAACACTCCACTCCTTCGACCTTACTACCACCGAGGAGATCACCAAGGTCTTCTCCAAAGCCCGCCTCACCACCTGCCCCCTCAAACCTGTACCCTCTCAGCTCCTACGACCTCCCTCCTCCTCCATCTTATGCTCCCTCACCCACATCTTTAATTTCTCCTTCTCTTCTGGCGCATTCCCCTCCCCTCTGAAGCACGCACACATCACTCCCATACTCAAAAAGCCTTCCCTGGACCCCACTGACCCGAACAACCGTAGACCCATCTCCCTGCTGCCACTTACAACCAAACTCCTTGAGCGCTTAGTCTACAATCGCCTAAGCTCCTACCTCAATGACAACAACCTCCTTGACCCTCTACAGTCTGGCTTCCGTCCCCTACGCTCCACCGGAGCTGCCTTACTTAAACTAACCAATGACCTGCTAACTACCAAAGCTAATGGCCACTATTCAGTGCTCATACTCCTCGACCTCTCTGCGGCTTTTAACACAGTCGACCACCCCCTCCTCCTCAAAAAACTACACTCCCTTGGCCTCAAAGACTCCGCTCTCTCCTGGCTCTCATCCTATCTATCACAAACGCTCCTCCAGCATTACCTACAATGCTACCACCTCCCCCTCACTCCCCCTCTCTGTTGGGGTCCCTCAAGGCTCCATCCTCGGGCCCCTTCTCTTCTCCATCTACACCTCCTCCCTTGTCCAACTGATACACTCCCACAGCTTCAACTACCACCTCTATGCCGACATCACGCAAATCTATCTCTCGACCCCTCACCTCACCCCCTCAGTTTCCGCCCGAATCACTAGCCTACTGAACGACATATCAGATTGGATGTCGCTCAACTTCCTTAAACTGAACCTCTCCAAAACTGAGCTCCTAGTCTTCCCCTCAGCCCGCGCACCCCCCCCACTGATGTCTCCATCACGGACAACAATGCCACCATCAGGCCCACCCCACAAGCCAAAGTACTTGGGTCATTCTTGACTCCAATCTATCCTTCCAGCCCCAAGTCCAATAGCTACGAACTCATGCCGACTCCACCTCTGCAACATCACCAAAATACGCCCATTCCTAACCCCGGAAACCACTAAACAACTCATCCACTCCTTAATATCCTTGATCTTGTCTTCTCCAACCGCTGCGCTCCCCACAACCTCACTAACACCCCCTTCCCTCTCTCTGACCACAACCTGATTACCTTCTCTATCTCCTCATCCTCCAATGCCTACCCCTCCAAATGTCACACTACTACCAGCCGTAACCTCCGCAACCTTAACCCTGCCCCCCTCCACTCTGCAGCTGATCAACTCTACGACAGTATCCTCCCCTTGTCCTGCCCCAACTTGGCTATGACTGCCTACAACAACGCGCTGTCAACAGCCCTTGACTCACTAGCTCCTTTAACCACAAGCAACATCAGACCCCAACTGCTCCAGCCCTGGCAGACTGATCACACCAAAACCCTCAAATGACATAGTCGTGCCCTGGAGCGACTATGGCGCAAAACCAAATCCCAACAAGCCTTCACCCACTACAAATCTGCCTTCCACACCTACACCTCCTCCCTCCACGCAGCCAAACAAGCCTACTTCCTGACTCTCATGAAGGCCCTCTCCTCCAATCCTCGCCGACTCTTCTCCACCTACAACTCTCTACTCTCGCCACCCCCACCTCTACCCAGCACCTCACTCACCGCCCTTGAGATTGCCAATCACTTCAAAAACAAGATTGACACAATTCGCAAGGACATCGCCGCAACTCGCATGCCCTCTCAACCTGTCCGATCTCACACAGCTACCCCCTCATCCCCCCTCTCCCTCGACATAACCCGCAGGGACTTCGTCGCTGCTCAAACTCCCTCCAACCCCGTTCCCCCCTCAGCTACCCCCTCATCACCCCTCTCCCAAGGCCCCACCACTGCTCTGACCTCCACTTCCACCCCACATTCTTCATACTAAACCCCCCCCCCAACACTCCGCACCTTTGACCTTACTACCATCGAGGAAGTCTCCAAGATCCTTTCTGTTGCCCACCTCACCATTTGCCCCCTCGACCCTATCCCCACACAACTCCTACGACCTCCCTCCCCTTCCATCCTACGCTCCCTCACCCACATCTTTAATCTCTCCCTCTCCTCTGGCACTTTCCCCTCCTCTCTAAAACATGCACACATTACCCCCATACTTAAAAAGCCCTCCCTGGACCCCAATGACTTGAACAACCTCAGACCCATCTCCCTGCTCCCATTTACATCCAAATTCCTCGAGCGCCTAGTCTAAACCCGCCTAAGCTCTCACCTCAACGACAACAACCTCCTCGATCCCCTACAGTCCGGCTTCCGTCCCCTACACTCCACCGAAACTGCCTTACTTAAACTCTCCAACGACCTACTAACCACCAAAACTAATGGCCACTATTCAGTGCTCCTACTCCTTGACCTCTCTGCGGCCTTCGAC